CTCTACAAGAAAAAAGAGAAATTATCTGCTCTCAAAATAGGCAGAAGCCATTTCATCAGAGAAGACATACAAAAACGTTCATTTAAGAGATGCAAAGCAAAACGAGATTGCAACATCACCTCAACCAGACATTAATAGTAATGTTGAAAAAAGGCAAAAAACAGACGATAAGCAATGCTGGCACGGGGCTCCGAGGCTGGGACCCTCACACACTGCTGATGGGAATGCAAAACGGTGCGCCACTGCGGAAAGCAGTACGGAACTTCTTCAGAGTTGGAAACAGAAATACCATGTGACCCAGCAATCTTCCTATTTGGAGAGAAATAAGAGCCGTGACACAGGCCGACGTGCACAGCCACGTTCACGCAGCACTACCGACAATAACAAAGGAGATGGAAAGACCCTAAATGCTCATCAGCGGGAGAATGGATACACGTTGGTACATGCACACAGTAGAATACTATGCAATGTTTAAGAATAACTGCAGGAAAAAATTCCAGGATCTTCTAGGGTCCCAAGGAACCCCCATATTTTTTATCTCATTAGTCTTATTGCTTTGTCCAACCCATCACCACTTTGTCTTGACTTTTTTCCCTACTGAACAGATCATATTTATTAGCAAAATATTAGCATATTTCTACATTTTAGTAATCAAAGATATTTTGCTGACAAGCAAAACCCCTAGGAAGCATCAGACTATCATTATGGTCAAAATGAATTTATATATCACAGCCCAGAATAAAGATACATGGCATTCAAGTTGACCTATTGGATCCCCTCACAAGATAATTGATATATTTTTAAAATACTGGATATATTTCTAATCGAACCCCTTAATAGCCTTAGTAACCAAGAATGTTAGTCAAAGAACCATTTGTCATTCAGTCTTCAAATATGGAAATGAGATCCAGTGTGTCTCCTCCTGAGGAAAGACAAAAACCAGCAGGGTCCCTGGGGCACAACTCAGAGGAATCTGACTACTGTGTCAGATATCTTAGAGTGAAGAGAAATGACTCGGAATAAATAAAGCTAGACAGAGAGATGACTTGTGTATATTCTTTAATAAGACTGTCAGCGCAATGATTTTCAAAGAGGATGATATCAGAATTGCAGGAGATGGATGAGTGTTATATGAAAAAGTATCATCATTTTGTATTTGGAGAAAAACATAAACTCTTTTTCCATAAATATAAGTATGAAGAGGAAATTCTTGACTGATAGTTACTTGTGGAATAAATATTGGTTCTCATATCTCATGGAGAGAATAGGTACATTTTTATGTGAGTCATGGGTTTTCGTAAGTTTGAGCTTACAGTTTACTTTTACAAGCCAATTTAAGTGTTTGTATATTGTAAAATGGCAGATTAGGGAATAAGATACCCAGGGGAGAAGAGAAGGCTGTCCCAGGGGCATTTGGCCAATTATTAGAATGAAAATGCTGGGGACCTTATATTCTTGATTCAACTTCATCTTTAGCACCTAAAATAATGCTTGACAGAAAGAAGTGGCTCAATTAATATTTATTGGATCACACCAAATCCCTTTATTTTTTTTTCAATCAATATTCTAACAGGTTTTGAAATTAGTTTTCTACAAAAATAAAAAAAATGTCCTGCCATCAAGTTAATTCTTACTCATAGCGACCCTATAGAACAGAGTAGAACTGTCCTGTGGGCTCCTGAGACTGTGAATCTTTGTGAGAGTAGAAAGCCTCATCTTTCTCCCAAGGGGCAGCTGGTGCTTTTGATCTTCGCGTATTTAAATAGAACCTACAGCTTCCTATCGGAGCATCCATTTTCTCTTCCTCAAATTGCACAGCCCCTCTCGCAGCTACTTTGTGGACAGTGAGGTGTAAGGGAAAGTGTTCAATGATACTTCCAAGAAGTTTTCATATCATGAAGGTGCTGTAACTTTCCTCCTCCCTCTCATCTGCAGCCTGGAATGATGGGCTGGAGATCAAGCAGCCGCTGGAAGCCATGGACCCTAGACACGAAGGATGACAGCTAGACAGATACAATAACCCTGGGCCCCTGACGTCTGCAGCGTCACCATGTCAGCCCTGACCTGTCTGCCTTCAGACTTTTGTTAAATGAGATCAAATGTGCTTCTGTGTTTCATAAGCTTCTGCTCTTTGGAATGTTTCTACTCTAGGCAAAGAAACCTAATCCTAAGGGATATGTGTGAGTAAGGCACTCCAGGCAGTGACCAATCCCTTGCTATCACAGCAGCAACCTAATGTATGGTCTATTGGTTGCCTGGACCCAGGGCCCTAGTCACAGACTCCTTTGGGCCTGGAACCAAGTCCCGGTAGGTCCTGGGACAGTGCTTGCGGTAGAGATTTTCCACTAGCGTGTTGCTTCCTTTCACCATGACCTTCCTTCCGCGGTTCATGTAGTTCCACAGATGCAGGGCGTAGGAGTCCTTGAAGCTGGGGTCTGTGTCCCAGACTTCATAATAGCGCCTCCACTGTGAGTAAGAGATAGGGTAAAATCTCTGGGGGTGTAGGAAGGACAAATTCAGACACCTGAGGTCACTCACCTCCTGGAAATCTCTGAGTTTGCACCACACCCTCAGCATCCTTGTCATCAGAAGGGGGCCCTGGTTGCCCCAAATGTCTGAATTGTAGTGTTCTACAAAGTTTTCCATGCATGCCCACAGGAAGGGATGGTGGGGGAGAAACCCAAACACCCCGTTACTAGAGTCTCGAGAGCCCTGTGCAGCCAAAAAGTTGTCCTCGGGGATAGGCCTGATGGAGATGACATCGGTGTCCATGTAGATGCCACCATATTTCCAGATGATGGCCAGGCGGGACGCGTCTGAGCTGACATGGAGCCAGTTGCTTTCTGCACTGATGTTGACCTGCAGGATCAGGAACAAGTAAGCCATGAGCAGCAGGGAGGCCAAGGGAGGCAACTTGAGAACAGCAGGCCAGTGCCCCAAAACTCTTTTGCAAAAGCCCAATTTTGAAAATTCGCCACACTTACCTCCATCCCCCAAAGTTACCTTTAAGTTAAAACATTCACGGGCATTAATGTTGATGGGAAACTTTCTATTGCCATTAAAGATTATATAATATTGAAAAAATAAGTAAAAAGAAGTGGAAAGGTAAAGAAGAATCCTTTATATTATTGTTGTTGTTGTTATTTTCTTAGTTCTGTTTTTTATTGTTTCTGTTAGGTCTCCCAGTTCAGGAAGCACAGAAGGAGTAGCTACAGAGACAGTAACTGATGCAATGGTTTATCAGGGAGGGTGGGGAAGAGAGAGGAGAGCAATTGGGGAGGGATCCATGCATGAGGGGCGGGCGGAGGGCATTAGAGCTGATTGCAATGATGTCTATGCAACTCTTTAAAAAAGCGATTAACTATGAAAGTGTATGGTACGTGACTACTATATCAAGAAAGCTACAAGAAAAGAAAGAGGGAAAGAAAGAAACCAGACTTGGTCTATGGTTACCATGGGTGCAGAGGGAGAGTTTTGCTTAGGGGGCATTGAGTTTATGTTGATGGCGGTAGAACCGTTTGGAGAGGGATCACAATCGTGGTTGTACCACACTTTGAGTATAATTAGTGGCACTGAATTATACATATAGAAGTTTATGTATAAACAATTATACATATTGAGTTTATGTTGATGGCGGTAGAACCGTTTGGAGAGGGATCACAATCATGGTTGTACCACACTTTGAGTATAATTAGTGGCACTGAATTATACATATAGAAGTTGTTGAATTGGTGAATGTTTTGTGTACATTTTTGCCAAAATTGGGTGGGGGTGGGGGAGAATTACATGACTAACAATGACTATGGGGAAAAAGAAAATGTTCTTTTGGGGGGGGTATTTAAATTCTTATATTAAATGTTGGAAAATTAAATCAACCCATGTGCATCTATGAAACTCCAAAACAAATTTCTCACTAACTTCCTGCACTTTCATTTTAGCTATATAATCTTTTTTATATTTTGAGACACACAAATTGTGATAGCACTGTAGGAGCAAATTAATATAAAATTAACTTTAATAATCTTAAATATGAAAAATGATATGATTTGATATGAATTGCTCAAAACTTGGGGAGACATTATCTTAAAAGCCAGTTACTTAATGAAGAAAATGTTCTAAAATTGATTGTGGTAAAGATTGGACAATTCTTCTTGATATGGATAAACTATTGAATTGTATGATATGTGGACAAAGTGCCAATAAAACAGTTTTTAAAAAGAAGAAGAACCCAGAAGGGATTTCATAATTAACTGTCTGAAATTTTCTTCAATGTGAGTATACAACAGTCATAAATATGAAAACATCCATCAAAAAAACCTCTGGGAAAAAAATTTTTTAAGTTAGGATATTATAAGGAAAGTCATTATGTCTGCTATTTAAGAGAGAGGTAAACAAATAATAAAATGTTTGTATGAATGCTTTCAGTCATTTCTTCATTTCTTTAGTAATATGAAGAGTTGCATACTACTGTTATCAGTGCTAACAATGGTGCAGTAAGCAAGGATTTCCATAGGGACGAGACAGACAATAAACAAATTAGTATGTAATGTGTTCAGTAGCGCAGTGGGTATGTGTTGGGCTGTGATTCACAAGGTCAGCAGTTAGTAACCCTGTAGCCGCTCCCCAGGAGAAAAGATGATGGCTTGGACCAGGGTGATCACAGTGCAGGTGAGAGACCAGACTAGAGCGTGAGTACATGCTGAAGGTAAAGCTGGTCAAGGTTTGCTGACAGATTGGATGCAAAACAAGCGTGCGCGAGAGGGAGGGATCACAGATGACTGCTAATCTGTGAACAGACAGGAAAGGGCTTTCAACAGAATTCTTAAAAGTCAGTATAAATGGCAATGGTTTCAAGTGGAATGCTAACATTTTTTTATTCTAGAAAGCACACATGGGAGGAACTTAGTATGTTGATTAAAAGATTAAGACTTGACCCTTGATTTTTGCCAAAATAAAGTATTCTTTAACATTCTGCTGTCTAGCCAAGTAAAAGCATGTCAATTAAGATTTTGCAGAAATCGACACACAACATGTTTTCAGAAAAATCATCACATTCTATACAACTGTTGAGAAGCTCTCAAACAACATCAACAACTGTTTCGAGCTCTCTATATCGACACAGTCCTCAGAGATCAAGGCTACTTTTGTTTTCGTTTTTTCACGAGAAAAACTAGAAAGACTAAGGAGTTCAGTGGGCTGTCCATGGTAAGAGAGGGAGAGGCAGGGTTTGAATTCGGGTAGTCTGGATGTGGTTGGTAAGATGGGAGTTGGGACTGAAGAGAGACGACAGTGGAAGAGATTTCCACTGTCCTCCGGGTTTCCTGAAGCTCCAGTACATCCTATCTTAAGGGAATCATTGTTCATTTTATAGAAAGACAAAATGTCCACATTCATTTCCTATCAGGCTTATGATAGCAGGACATTAAGGTGGAAACCGAAGAAGCATCTCCTTGGGATGGGCCTGCTTCAGTCACCTGAACGTTTGAATCTGATCGGTTACAGGTTTGTACTTCCGGAAATAGAAGATGCAAATATTGTTTTAAGTCCCAAAGTGCTTGCTGGTAAATGATTCCTCTTCTATCCAACACGAAGCAGAGTGAAGATACAAGCCGTGTGCTATATGGAACTAACATTACACATTTGACGTTCTCCATGTCCTTGTGGGGAAAAATGTAAATTATGGTAGCGACTTTAAAAACAAAAATAATCTATGCTCTAAAACAAATAAGACTGAAAGCAAAAGACTCCAGGCAGGCAAGAGAAGGCTGTGTTGCCTCTCTCATGGTTACCCGATTCAGGACTCAGCATGGTGTAAAGAGGACCAGGCAAGAGTTGAAGGTGTGCGGTGCTAGGTCCATTTCTGACACCAACTTCCTTACCCTCAATCTACCCATCTGTAAAGTGAGTAAATTGAACTGGTTTCCTGTGCTCCTCCCAATATTGACATTCTAAAATGCCCTAAACACTTACTCGAGTGTACCATGAAAACAGTGGTGTATCTTCAAACAGCCTTCTCATATCCAAAGGGAAGAGGAAAACATTGTCTATTGCTGAGAGGAGGGAAACGGCCGGGTACGTGGCATTTGTGGACCGCTGGGTGGAATCGTTGAGCGCCTTCAGAAGGAAGACCACAGGCTGCTCGGGATAGATCCTGGCAGCGGACTCCACAGCACAGGAGACAAGCGGGGGCGGCTCCATCCTCTCTGAGGTCTCCAGGAACACAATGCTGTGGTGGTGCCTGAGGACGCCTTCCAGCCCCTGTTGGGATTGGTAGGTGGGAAGGCAGGAGAAGAGGCAACTGGACTTCAGGGTCAACAGGTAGAGGAAGCCGCAGGCAAGCAGGAAGAAGACCCACAGGGAGAGCTGGAGCCCCTTCAGCATGTCCTCTTCTCTGCTCCGGCCTGCGCCTTTAAATCAACACAAGTCACAGAAAAGCAGCATTTACAAGCCTTGGTAACGAGAGCACGGAAGAAAAGAAAATGATGCATCAACATAACATACACATACACTGAAAAGGCACTAAATAAAATGTGATGAAATCACGTCTCATAGTTTTTTAAAAATGCATGATAGTCGATTAGGGTCTGTCCCAGGATTTCAAGAAGGT